CAAGGAAAATTACAGTACTCTGAAAAAAGAGATCGTAGAGGATTTCAGAAAATGGAAAGATATCCCATGCTCCTGGATAGGAAGAACCAACATTGCGAAGATGGCCATACTACCAAAATTGCTGTACAGATTTAATGTAATCCCTATCAAACTACCACCAACATTCCTCACAGAGCTAGAGAAATCATTCCTAAAATTTATTTGGAACCAGAAAAGACCTAGAATAGGAAAGGCAATCCTGGGCAATAAAGACAAGGCAGGAAGCATTACAATTCCTGACTTGAAATTATGTTACAAGGTTACTGTGATAAAATCAGCATGGTACTGGCAATAAAATAAACCTGAGGATCAGTGGAATAGATTAGAAGACGCTGAAGCCCCTACGAACACACTCAGTCACCTTATCTTTGACAAAGGGGCCAAACATACTCACTGGAAGAAAGATGGCCTCTTTAACAAATGGGTGCTGGAAAAATTGGCTCTCTACATGCCAAAAACTAAAACTTGACCCAGGTCTAGCACCATGCACTAAACTAAAGTCAAAGTGGATTAAAGATCTAAAATTAAAACAGAGACACTAAATCTCCTAGAAGAGAAAGTAGGAGGAACTCTTGAAGACATAGGGGTAGGCAAAGAGTTCATGAACACAAATCAAATCACACGGGCAACACTTGAAAGAATTAACAACTGGGACCTGCTCTTATTGAGAAGTTTTTGCATGCCAAAAGAAATTACCCTCAAAGTGAAAAGACAACTCACAAATTTGGAAAAAATCATGACAAATAAGTACTCGGACAAAGGTCTGCTCTCTAGAATTTATAAAGAACTGAAAAACACTAGGACCCCAAAATTTAAAGACCCAGTCCAGAAATGGGCATCCGAGATGAACACACACTTCTCAGAGGATGAAATTAAAGAAGCGAATAAATATATGAAAAAATGTTCCACATCACTAGCCATCCGCGAAATCCAAATTAAAACAACATTGAGATATCATTTCACCCCAGAAATAATGGCTATCATAAAGAAATCAACTAACAACAAATGTTGGAGAGGCTGTGGGGAAAAAGGAACCCTTCTCCACTGCTGTTCGGAATGTAGACTGGTGCAACCGTTATGGAAATCAGTGTGGAGACTCCTTAGCAAACTTGGACTGGAAATTCCATGTAAACCAGCTATTCCTCTACTGGGAATTTTCCCGGAGGATCTGAAA